CATGCAGGAATACATAGAATCCTAGAGTTGGAAGGGACCCCCAAGGTCCATTTAGTCCAAATCCATACAATGATGCAACAGCAACAACAACAACAATAATAAATGGTTTTTATCCCACCCCTCTGCGATGCAGTTGGGGCAGCTCACAGTATTAAAACCAAGATAAAATACATACAAAACCACAAAACCCTCCCACCTCTTAAAAATATATTAAACAAAGAATGATATAAAACAAACTGAATAACATAAATCACAAATAACATAATAATCATAATAACAGCAGCACAAAAGGGGGAAGAAGGATTAATCTAGGTCAAGGGGCCAGGAAAACTATTCAGGAAAGGCTTCCAGAAAAGATCTGTCTTAACAGCTTTTTTAAAGCTGTTCAAGGTGGTAATAAAATGGATCCATTCCACAGTACTGGATCGATAGCAGAGAAGGCCTGCTGGGAGGTTGCAGACAGCCTTGTTTTAATGGGTTGTAGCAGATTCCTCCCAGGTGTAATGTAATATCTCCTGGATGTTACCGAGACCACCCTGGCTGCCATATTCTGCACTAATTGAAGTTTCCAGGTTAGGCACAAGGGTAGCCGCATACAGTATCCTAGAGTTGGAAGGGGATCCCCCAAGGGCCATCCAGTCCAACCCCTACTGTCATGCAGGAATACATAGAATCTTACATTTGGAAGAGAACCCCAAGAGCTATCCAGTCCAACCTCCTTCTGCCATGCAGGAATACACAGAATCCTAGAGGTGGAAAGGATCCCCAATGACCATCCAGTCCAATGCTTCTACCATGCAGGAATACACAGAATCTTGGAGTTGGAAGGGACCCCCAAAGGCCATCCAGCATAGTTGTGTGTAGTGTGAGCACACACACCTTCAAGTAGCACAGCTTCCATGATCTGGATGTTACTAGACTATAGTTCCTAGCATTTCTCAGCATTGGCTACAACAGCTAGAGTGGGGGTAGGCAACCTTTCCCCTTTAAGGGTCAAGGGACTTCAGCTCCCAGAATCCCAGGAGCTATTGGCCAACATGGGACTATTGGCCAACATGGCTGAGGCTTCTGGGAGCTGAGTCCCTCGGCCCTTAAAGGGGAAAGGTTGCCTACCCCTGTGCTAGAGGATTCTGTGACTTGCAATCTAACAATATCTAGAGAGCCATATGTTACAATAAGGTCTGCAGCTTCTATCTCCACCCAAAATGATACCCATTACTCCTTTCCATAGCGCGATATGAAGCAGTATATAAATGAAGCTGCTTTTGCTTTGCTTTGCTTTCCCAACGATTCTGGTTAAAGTGGCTGCAAATTTGCAACCACTGGAACTTCATCTTTAGTGGGAACAGTGGTGCCACTGCCATCCACATTTCTCCTGAAGATAGGTATTTTGAAATATGAAGTTTGAATGAAATAGCTTGGTCTCACATGGGCAATCAAGGGCCATGAACATTACAAAAAACATACTTACATGATTGCTCATTTGAGACCAAGTTCGTTTGGAAAGAATGACTGATATCTCTTTCAGCTACAGTGTGCTGTAGGCTCCAGAAGAAACACTTTGCCTTTTAAACTCTAGGATTTTATGTGGTGTGGTGGGTTTTGGGGGAAGGGCAGTTTTGGCCCTTTGTTCTTTTGGGGGCCTCATGAATTTCCCCAAATACCCAAACAAATCCACTTTGGATTTTCAGGAGGAACATTAAATAGTGCAGGGGAGATGCACATTATTTAAAAGGCAAAGTGATTCCCCTGGAGCCTTCCAAGGGAGGCAGCTCACCTTTTCTTGTGGTTTTCTTGTGTCTGTAGCTTGTATCTCCACCCAGAATGTTCTTGTTTGTTATGTGCCTTTGTCTACAACCCTAAGGCTGAGGTTCTTTGGCAAGATTTCTTCAGAGGGGGTTTGCCTTTGCTTTCCTCTGAGGCAGAGAGTTTGTGACTTGTCTAAGGTCACCCAGTGGGTTTCCATGGCTAAGTGAGGAGTCAAACCCCAGTCTCCAGAGTCACAATCAATTGTTCAAACCACTATACCACACTGTCTCTCTAAAATACTTCACTGTTGTTGAGTTGAACAATATAGCTGTGTTAGTCTGTAGAATCAGTTGGTAGAAAGATATTGAAGCACCTTTGAGACTAACTGAAATAAAGAAGTTGGCAGCATGAGCTTTTGTAGACTTCAGTCTACTTCCTCAGATGCATATTCACTGTTGTCGTATGACAGGGGTAGGCAACCTTTTGCCTTTAAGGGCCGAGGGACTTCAGCTCCCAGAAGCCTCAGCCATGTTGGCCAATAGTCCCATTTTGGCCAATAGTTCCTGGGATTCTGGGAGCTGAAGTCCCTCGGCCCTTAAAGGGGAAAGGTTGCCTACCCCTGTTGTATGACGTCAAATCATTTCTGACTTAAAGACAACTCAAACATGAACCAGCCTGTCCTGGGGTTTTCTGTGCAAGATTTGTTCAGAAGAGATTTGCCATTGCCTTCCCCTAAAGCTAAGAGCATGTGACTTCCTCAAGGGAGTTTCATGGCTGAGTTGGGAATTTAACCTTGGTCTCCAGAGTCATAGTCCAACTGTCAAACCACTATACAATGCTCACAAACTATGTAGTTTTGTTAAGATTTTCTATGTACCTATATTGTTTTTGGACAGATTTAGGAATCATAAAAGCTGACATTTTATTATATATTTTTTGCATTTTTTCTATCCTTTCTCAAATGAGAAACAAAACATTGGATCTGAAAAGAATGCTGAATAGAAACTCTGTATTTGAACAAATACTGGATTGCATTGCTTGCTTACTGCTTAGACAGTTTTGCAGAGAATCTCAGAAGGAACAGAAGATTTATTCAGGACAGTTTGCTTTCCTCTATAGTGAAAGAATCCTTTTAACAGAAAATAATTTCCTCCATGCATAAAGCTTTCAAGTGTATGAGCATGTTTGTATGTGTGTCTGTGTGTGTGTCTAGTTATATACACAAACATCGGTATTTGTGTATACAAAATGGTCAGTGGAGGGGAAGTGTTTCTGTTAATTTTCTATTCCTCAAAAGCCTTTCTGTGTTGTAGAGCTTAATAGCCTTCTGAGAGAACTGAAGTCTCATTCTGCACTACTGTGAATTTAAATCCAGGTCACAGAGAAGTTAAATAGCAAATGACACATTTACCATGCCACCCAGCTGCCTTTAGTAATACAGCAGGAATGCTTTTGCAATAGAGATAGCAAGCCAATATGAATTTATATGCATTTAGTTTTGTTTTGAAAGCAAATGCAAAGCGACACTTATCACACTGAAATACCTATTTCAGTCTTTGCAAACTCACTCCCTGAAGTGTTAAAGATCTGCAAAATGCATCTATGCACACTGCAAGATCTTTAAAATGGGCACCTTTCAATTGCCCAAATCATATACCTGTGTTCAAAGTCATCTCTGTCATTTGTACAATAAAGCAAACATTTCTATTCGCAGATAGTGTGAAGCAATAGTATTGCTAATGGGGTTTCCTCAGGCTTTGAAAATTTCTTTCCATTTGATTGAAAGCAAAATACCTTTCTAGTTCATTACAATGCATTTTCTCAATTCCTTTGAATATATATTTGTTGTTGTTAACTGCCCTCGAGTTGATCTTGACTCATGATAACAGAATGGATATCTCCAAGACCCTCTGTCCTCTATTGCTTAATTCTTAATTCTTGCAAATCGATGCCCATGACCTCCTTGATAGAGTCCATCCATCTGGCAAGTGTCCTTCCTCTCTTCCTACTTCCCTCCACCTTCCCCAGCATTATTGTCTTTTCCAATGAGTCTTCCCTTCTCATGATGTGTCCGAAATACGACATACAAGCCAGAAACCTCTTAGCTTCCAGAGAGGTTTCTGGCTTGATCTAGGAGCCATTTGTTTGTCCTTTTGGCTGTCCATGGGATCCTCAGCACTCTTCTCCAGCACCACCTCTCAAATGCATTCCTATCACCTTTCTTAATTGTCCAGCTCTCACATCCCTACATGGCAATAGGGAATATAATGGCTTGTATGATTCTAACTTTTGTGCTGAATTGTATATCTTTGCATTTTAGAATCTTTTCTAGTTCATTCATAGCCACTCTCCTATTTTTAATCTTCTTCTGATCTCCTGACGGCAGTCCCCATTTCCATCAATGTTTGATCCCCGGTATAGAGATTCTTTCACTATTTTTATTTCTTTGTTGTCTAGGTTGAACTTGTCCTCGGTGGTCATTATTTTTGCTTTGTTTATTATGTTCAGCATTAAGCCTGCCTTTGCACTTTATTCTTTGATCTTCCTTAGTAGGTGTTTCAAGTCTGTGAGGTTTTCTGCTAGCACTATATTGTCATCTGCATATCTTAGATTGTTGACATTCCTTCCTCCTATTTTCACTCCTCCTTCTTCTGTGTCCAACCCCACTTCTCTATAATATGTTCTGCATACAAGTTGAACAGATAGGATGAAAGGATACAGCCTTGTCTGACCCCTTTGCCAACTGGGAACCATTCTGTTTTCTGTGTTCTGTTCTGACAGCAGCCTCTTGTCCTAGTACAGATTCCTCATCAGGACTATCAGATGTGTTGGCACTCCCATGTCTTTAAGGGCATTCCATAGTCTCTCATGATCTGTGCAGTCAAAGGCTTTGCTATAGTCTATAAAGCACTTGCTGATTTTCTTTTTGAATTCCCTGGTATGCTCCATTAGCCATCATATGTTTGAAATGTGCTCCTTAGTGCCCCTTCCATTCCTGAACCCTGCATAAACCTGTGGATCTTCTCTCTCCATGTACGGTTTGAGTCTATATTGCAGAATTTTGAACATGATTTTGCTTGCATGGGAGATCAATGCTATGGTCCTATAGTTGGTGCAGTCTCTTGTGTCTCCCTTTTTATGGTTGGAGATGAATGTTAATTGCTTCCAATCTGTTGGCCATCATTTTGTTTTCCATATCTGTTGACATATGTTGGTTAGCACTAGGGTTGATTCTGTCAATGTCAACTCTCTGTCTCTGTAGAATATATATATTCTCAATACAATACAATACAATACAATACAATACAATATAATATGCATATTTTTTGCTAATCATAGGAAAGCTTGGATAGTCAGAGTCTAGAACACCAGTACCAGATCTGTCATGCTTTCAAAGGGATGAAACACAATTTATAATATTTAGACTGAAGATGGATACCTCTTATGCATCATAATTTTTAAGATCATTTCCAAATATCCCTAGTTAACAGGGTTAGGTAGCAGGTGATAGCCATTAGGGAGCTGGCATGGTATAGTCGTTTGAATGTTGGTCTAGGACTCTGGTGGAACCCTGCCATAGAAAGCCGCTGGATGACTTTAGGCAAGTCACACACTCAGACTTACCAAAAAACTGCTATGACAGTGACATTTGAATGTGTCTTCAAGTTGAAGTCAACATGAAGGCACATCTCAACAAAGGGAAGGGCCTCTTTTAATCTGGAACTTTGGAGATCTCTTTCCAAACTGTGTAAAGTTAGGCAAACTTCTCTCTTCCAAATGTGCAAATCAATTCAGCTCTAGCCAAGATGATTAACATCTAAAGGGCAACAGGATACTTGAATCCAGGTAAACTATGCAGGATGTGATGGAGAAATCATTTTTGCTGCTTTGAAAGGCATCTATAACTCAGGAAGCTGTGCATGTGCTTAAATCATGTTCACTCTAATATATGTAAGCTTGTCTAGGGTTCAGCAGATTTCCCTTGTTCACTCCTCTTCTAATGGCATATTTTCCATATTCCATTCTTTCTGAATTCTGGTTTAACTAGCAAAATTTCTAAAACTGATTCCAGAGTCGGAACATATAGTTTGGTATGGTATTTTCCTGAACTGCTATTATTCCATATGACTGATTTTACTTTGTTGTTATTGACTTATTGCTTTCATTCTAAATTCTAGCATGTAGAATCTTAGTGTTTGTAATCATGGGTCATGATTTTATGTTTCATGATTGTAATTTTCACTGTAAAATGCCCATATAACTTTTTATTGAGTAGTAAATAAATATTGTCAGTAATTAAAATAATATGATGAAACATGAACAGTGGATGATCCTTAATGTGGCCATTCTACTTTGAAACAGTATCAAAATCCATGCAGAATATTCAGTTTAGGAGAAATTCTGAAAAATTCCTACAATGCTCTCAACATATCTCCAGTACTTCTCTTGCATATAGACTATTATATTTCATCAAGGACAGTACAAACACCCAACCATATCCATGATTTTTTTTATCCACAGATTCATCCATCCACAGCTTGAAAATATTATGGTGCAGTCTCGTGTATATATATTCTTTTCTTGAACTGCTATTATTCCATATGACTGAGTGAAAACACACACACACACACACACACACACACACACATACTGTTCTTGATGAAATATAATGGTCTGTATATATAGTCCAAACACACACACACACATTCCAAAAAAGCAAACAAAAAAGTTTGATTTCGCCACTTAATATAAGAAACACCATTTTCTTCTGCCATTGTATTTAAATAGACATGAGCATCCACAGATTTTAGTATCCATGAGAGATCTTGAAACCAAACCCCAGCAGATACCAGGCACTCACTGAAATACAGTTTTCATTAGACTCTTTTGCAACATGTTATGTGCCTTCAAATCATTTCCACTTATGGTGACCCTCAGGTGAACCTATCACAGTAGTTTCTGGGCAAGATTTGTTCTTGGCAAAATTTGTCATCACTTTCCTCTCAGGCTAAGAGGGTGTGACTTGTCCAAATGTTTCCATGGCTAATTAGGATTCAAATCCTGGTCTCCTAAACTCCTCTAGGATTCAAACCACTACACCATGCTGGCTTGCAATACATAACTGAAACTATTTATGTAGACTTTTCCAGGAGAGGAATTCAGTTTTGGATTTGATTGTAAGGACATATTCCAAACCTTTTGTTATGACCCTTGTTTACAGAGTTTTACTATAATTTTTCTGTGTAAGATATATTGATATCACTTAACCTCACAGTAAAATGAGGTTT